CTATTCTAATAGAAACTCACCAAACATACTAAGTACTGCTCAATGCGACTTGCTATAACAACTATTAGTCTCACAAATGGATCCAAAACTCGTTTTAGATTTTGTATTGACAAAGGATACCCTCTTTGATTATTTGACCGGTTGTCGTATACTATACCAAGATCTATTTTTTCTCTTCTAATTCTTTCTTTTTTTAAGGGGCATGAGACAAAAGGAAAAAATTTTTAAACAAACAGTAATGAAAACGACCAGAAAAAAAGAAAAAACAGAAAAGAAAAAAGAAATACTAATTGTGAAAAAGAAAAACATAAAAAGAAATCTAAAACCCTAAAGACACTATTATAACCTGTGCATGGCTGATAAAAATTATATAATAAATACAATATTTGTATATCTCTACTGTAAAGCTATATCTTAATATTAAATTTACTTTTCAACCTTTCCACCAACTCCGGATAGCTTTGTTGCTTATCCTAATTCATATCTCAAGCTAGGTGCTGCCACTGTTCAAGGACCTGTGTCTCAAACTACTTGCTGTTGTAATTAGAGTTTCCAGACTAAGTTTTATAAAAAAGTGCCATATTTGTCTATAAACAAACACATAGTTGCATTCTGCTAATTTGTCTGAATTTGGGAAGTAAACAATGCTGATTATTTGGAGAGAGTAAGCCAAATTTTCACTTTTTGTTGAAATTTTTTTGGAAGACTAACAAAAGGATGAGAGAGAATAAAAAGATACTACTTGACCAAGTAAAAAGAGTGCGGCTTGAAGAAAGTAACAGGATATTTTGTTGTTTTTCAGTGTCTTTAAAGAAGTATAACCTAAAAGCTTCATCAACAAAGAAAGAGAGATGTCCAAAGAGTCCTTTTCTTCACCAAGATTTTTTTATACAAAGGCATCTCCTGCCAGTTATCTTGTATAATAACACTCTTGGCTTGCATGCTGAATATCATCTGTAAAAGAGTCCTGCAGCAATATATTGACCTCTAGACAAACTACTATGTTAGACCATAACTCTTCAACAAAATTTGTATTTTTCTTCTATAAGAATTTTGGACCGAGTAATCATCAGAAAGAGTTCTGAAACTTCTTAAAAATATATAATTAATATTACTATTTTATTATTTTTTTATTTATATTTTTTTTTTAGATTAAATATCTCAGCACTAAATAATATAGTTTTACTTCCTAAATATATAAAAATTGGCCTCAATATACAATCTCTTATTACTTTAATTTATTCTGATATATGTTTAGTAATACCAAGCAATAATTTTTTAAGAGATAGAATGATTTTATCTGCCCATAATAATGATGTACATAATATCAATTGTGCTATGCTTGATATGTTTCTTGGAGACAATAATATATATTTAAGTGCTAGTAATGCAATAATAGAAAATAGTGCAAATAATAGCAATATATATTCTACAGAATATTTGAATTTTCTTATTTCGTCTGGAATACAATTTTTTAAGCTTGACTAAAAAATTAGTTGTTCTATTGTAATCTTGCTCCTAACTAAGGTCTTTGTAATAGAGCATATTTAATTGTAGTTTAGCTTACAAATTATATTATTGAAATACGTATTCTTAGTGGTGATCAAGCTAGAAATTTGATTTTTATTCTTGCATCACATTGAAATCATCATCAACAAGTTTACTTTTTATTTTTAAAAGAAGACAGTTTTTAATTCGATTAGCTTTTGCAATTACTATAAACAAATCTCAGAATCAATCACTAAAGCATATTAGATTGGATCTTAAAACTGTAGTTTTTACATATAGTCAACTTTATATTGCTCTTTCCTGTTGTATATTTCTATGATCAATCAAAATTCTTTTACTACAAGAAACTGCCAACTGCTCTACTTTAAATATTGTTTATCCTAAAGTATTAATATGAAATAATTTAAATAGTAGCATTGTATAACTAAAATAATATTAAAATAATAATATATTAGCAATATTACAATAGTAATAATATAATCAAACATACTTTAAACATTTAATAAAATAAATAAATTTAATTATATACTGTAAATATTCTTAAATCTAATATTTAAATAATACTATTTATAAACTTCTGTGGCAATGCCACAAATCAAACACTAGTGTAATTATAAATTTGAGTATTTCAGGTCCATTAATAACAAATTTGTTTTGTCAGAGCAAATGGTTGGCTAACATATGCCACAGTTAGTGTTCGAATCTAGATAATCTGTTTATCTAAAGATAATTATTTGTTGAAAAAAATCATTATCTGTTACCTATATCTGTTTATAATTTTATTATCTGGATAGCTATCTAGATTATTTATTAATTATTAGAAATATATCATGCTAATATAAATTTTATATATTATGCAGAATTGTATAAAAATGTTATTCACTATTTCAATATGATCATATAATAGGTTTATATGTTATTAAATACAAATTTTTTTTTTTATAGATAAGAAAAAAAAAAGACAAAAATTTGCTTGTAATTAATAAAATGAAAATTCCTGTCATATAATCATAATGAAACAAAGAATAACTTATTTATTTATTATTTGATCCCAGGAAATAAATAGTATTTATTGCTCACAAAACCAAGAATCAAGCCAGATAGTTATAACAAAATGACCATGGCTATAAAGCAGCCAGTGTAGTATTTAGACATTATGTCTTTTTATAGAACATTTGTATGATTGGCTAGCTTATTTATATAGTTTAAAGCACATTTTAAGAATGTAAAGTTTCACTAACAAAAATCATCATAAAACCCATTTTTAGCTTCGAAGAAATCTATTCACTGTACAAAAATAATCAGTAACCCAAAACTTTACTTAAAATTACTATTTACTACTAGTACTATACTAGTTATATTGGCTACATTAATATATAAGTTCGAAATACTAGAAACAGTTAGATTAAAATATTATATGTAAGATTTAACTTCTATTTAACATGCTATTTAATATCAATAAGCTTGCATTAATGCTTATACAGTGTTTGACAAAAGTTTCTCCTACCTATATCTCTTTACAGAGAGGTGCTACGACCTTAAAACTTACAAAAAAATTAGTACATACATAGTTTAGATTTTGTACTTTTTTGAAGATTTTTTAATCACTTGAATAAATTTTAAATAAGAGCTAAATTCGGGATGTTTTTTTTTAAAAAAATAGAAAAATTAATATATTGTCAGAACTTAAAGCTAAAAATTCCAAAAATTAGTATATTAAAGGTCTATGATTTCCATAGTAATAATAAAAAATTTGGCTTGATTTGATGAAATAATTGTTGAGAAATTGATTTTTAAATTTTGAGTTTTGTTTTTAAAAATTACTAAGTAAAAACTTTTTTAATTAAAATTATCTTGATATCTGGTGATTCAAATTTAATGATTTTGGTGTTATTCGAATTGTATCAACAAAACAATTCAAATGATATCAAAATTATTAAATTTAGACTGTTAAAACACGAGATATTCATGAAAAACTGGTTGCAATACAAAAAAGGGTTAGACATCAACAAATCAAACATAATAAAAATAAAACTCAAAGCTTTAAAAATTAATTTCTCAATAACTATCTCATCGAATTGAGTCAAATTTTTTGTCACTACTACAGAAATTATTAAATTTTAATATATTAAATTTTAGAATTTTTAGCTCTAAGTCTTGATGATATATTGCTTTTTCTTTGAATTAAATTAATTTTTTTACTTTTTTTTGAACAAAAAATGTTCAAAAGTTTGCTTTTATCTAAATTTTTTTTAGTGATTAAAAAATCTTCAAAAACGACACACCTCCTAATCTATTTATATACTAGGATTTCTGATAGTTTTGAGATTATAGCACCTCTCTATGAAGAGATATAGGTGTGGGGAAACTTTTGTCAGGCACTATATTTACATATTAAATTTTATAGTTAGAATATTAATAACTTTGGGTTAAGTAGTAGGTTGATAATTTTAAAGATATTATTGCTTTATTAATTATATATAAGCTAAATGTCATACTACATTTCTAATAAAGATTGTGATAATTAAAAATAAGATTAAATTACTTTATTTACTTTTTAAAAGATAATAGTAATAAGTAGTTATACTAAGATCTTGATTGAACAAATTCTGCTATTCCTCTTTTAATTAACAATATTTGATTATATTTTTTCTTAATTTAGAATTCAGATAGTTATATATTTATGATATGGTGATAAAATTTTTGCATCTATTATTATGATAAAAATCAATTAAAGATTTTATCATGTTGATTATTATACTATTACAAGCACCCTTATCTAGTTAGTTTCTTATATAATTATAATTATTGCATTAGTATTATTTCAATCTTTTTACTGAATAATTAATAAACAGATACTATTTCAAAATTAAAAATTTGTAATTAAAATCCTGATTGAGTGAATTCTGCTATTTCTCTTTTAGTTAATGATATTTAAGAAAGGTTATACAATATAATTATAGTAAAAAATTGACCAAAAAATTATATGTGTTAATTATTATACTATTACAAGTACTTCTTATCTGGTTTCGCTTTCTATATAATTATATAGCTAATAATTAAACAAATACTACAGTATCTTAAAATTAAAAACCTGTAATTAAGATCTTGATTAAGCAAATTTTGCTATCAAAAATATAATCATTTAAAGTCATCAATAAGTAAAAATATAAACAAAGAATATAGCTATATGATGTAAAAGCTTATTATAAGTATAAAAGAAAATTATTAAAAATTCGATTATTTGTATTGTATTATTTATCGAAAAGAAAAATTATTTTAAGTTGTTAATAAGTCTAAAAATAAATAAAAAAATAACTATTAAAATATAAAAGTATATATTATTAATATATAAAATAAAATTATTAATGATATATTATGTTTTACGGAAATTATCTCAAATATATTTAAAGCATTACTTTTAGATCTTGAAGTTTGATTCTAAAACTATAAAGCTAATAAGTCTAAAAACATCTTCCTTAAATAAAACAATGGCAACTAATAAAAACTTTCATAAATATCCAAGTCAAAATTTTGAAAATTTGAAATTAGATAATGAAAGTGAGCAAGTAACAGATTCAGAATCTGAAATTATTCAAAGCACAACTGATACTTCTACTGCCCAGACTTCAACAAGCAAATCTATTATTAAACCTAAAAAAGAAAGTTTTAGAAAACAAGATTTAATTTGGAATTATTATGATGAGCATATTGATCCTATTACAAAAATTAAAATAGTAATATGCAAAGCTATGATTCAAAAAGAAAACAAAGAAGTTAAATGTGGAAAAGAAGTAACTTATAACAATTCTAGTGGCAATATGTAGACACATTTATCATAAATATATGGTATAATTTGGCCTTTTAACACAGGTTGAAATAAGGCAAATCAGGTTCAAATCGGCATCACAAAATCCTGATATAAACCTGATTTTAAACAGATATTTGGTGCAAATACGAGACCTATAGGATACAATTCAGATTAATATTGGCATACAAGACATATCAGCAAAATGATAGCTCAATTGATAAATTGATAGAGCGTATTCTATAGCTCTATCAATTTATCTATTGTGCTATTGTTTTGCTGATATGTCTTGTATGCCGATATTAATCCGAATTGTATCCTATAGGTTTTGTATTTGCATATTTGCACCAAATATCTGTTTAAAATCGGGTTCATATCAGGATTTTATAATGCTGATTTGAACCCAATTTGTCTTATTTCGACCTGTGTAAAGCTGCTAAACTTGTAATCTTTACAAAAAAAAAAACAAGTCAATCTATATTAGAGTCAATATTTCATAATATGTCTTATAATTCAAAAAAAAAAAAAACAAGCTTTAGCTGAATTTATAATTTATAATTCTCAACCATTAACTATTTTGTCTTCTCAAAATTTTATTTTTTTGCCAAGCATTAGATCTATACTATCAAGTTTTAAATAATAAAGTATTAAACTATATAATAAAAATTTATTATGTGAAAACTTGAAAAAAATACAATTACTGTATCTTTGACCTGCAATTTGTGGACTGCAAGAAGTAGACAAGGTTACTTGGGTGTTACTTGTCACTAGATCGATAATGAAATAAAACTAAATGAAATAATATTAGCAAATCAGTATTGTGAATATTTGTATACAGCTAAAAATATTAAAAAAGTATTGTATATAATAATTAATGAATAGAAATTAAATAACAAAGTAGAACAAAGTACTAACAATTACAACTGATAATGCTAAATCTATAATTGAAGCAATTAGTCTAATAGCAGATAAAAATATTGTTTGAATTTTCTATACAGCTTATACTTTATAGTTTTGTATTGAAAAAGAACTAATGCTAGCAAAAATATTAATTGACTGTGTTAAAAGATTAATTTCATTTTTTTTTATGCCTCAACGATTAGAAGAATTTCAAAAAAATACTTTAAAAAGATAAGAAAAGGATTTTTTAAAAGATACTCATAGATATTTAAGAAAATTCAAGATGTTAAAACACGTTAGAACTTTTCTTACTTAAACTAGAAACGTCTATTAAAGCTCAAAGATACAATTATTATTATTAAAACTTTTATAGCTCAAGAGCATGATTCTCAAACATGAAAAGATTCAAGGCATTTTAATAAAATTATATTAAGTGATAAATAGGCTGCTTTAAAAAAACTAGTTAAAGTTTTAGGTCTATTTACAGCAGCTATTGACTTATTTGCAGAAGTACTTATAGTACTATTGGATTTATAAATTCCATTATTGCTTTTCTTAAAAAATAAACCAAAAATGCATAGCTAATACTGAAGAACTTGTAGATTTAACAACTGAAAATACTGTGCTAGATAATATTGGATTTATTGATGATTATAAAAAAGATAAAAATGAAAAACATAAAAAATGAAGAATTTTTATTAATATGTCTCAAGATTGTAATGATTTAGATCAAAAAGTTTAAGCAGCATTGTATAGTGTATTGGAAAATTATTGAGATATGCCAATAGATGATACAACACTATGTACAAGCTTATTAGATCCATGATACAAAAAATTAGATTATATATCTTGAAAAATTAAATGACAAGTTATTTAAAATTTTTAACAAATGTATAATGAACAAAAAGATGTTCAAGATAATTCAAAAAAAGAGACAATACCTAATAATATAAATAAAGATGACCATTTTCAAAACATGTTATTCAATATAATTTCATCTTGTAATCCAGAATTAGAAATTAATGAGTTTTTAAATTACTAACAGTTAACCGAACTTTATTTTAAGCAAGATCTATTATTATAGTAGGCAAGTCAAAAGGAGCAATATAAAATATTATATAAATTTGCTTGTCAGTATCTTGCAATTCCAGCAACTTCTACACCAAGTGAGAGACTATTTTCAGCCGCAAGAATAATTATAAGCCCATGATATACACTTCTTGGACCAAAGTTATTTGAATAGATATTATTTTTAAAGCAAAATCAAGAATATTTGAAATCAATTTGGCCTGATAATGGTTGATTTAATAAGTTTTTTTTTTAAGCAATTCTGTCTTTATTTATTATGTGAATTTAATACTCTCAAGTATATATTCTTTAACGCATTTTGCTCTAGTCTAATAAAAACTCACCAAGCAAGAACTGCCCAGAGCGACCTGCTATAACAACTATTAGTCTACTTAGGAATTCCAAACTTTCTCAAAATTTTGGTATGATGAGATACCCCCCAAGATCACAGACAGGTTGTTGTATACTGTGTCAGGATCCTTTCCTTTTTTATAAACTTTTCCTACCTAGATCCAGCAAAAAGTTTGATCCTTATTTCTGCACAAGATAAAAAACCAAAAATCATATTTACAAAAGAATGAAACAAATTCAGAGAAAGAAAACAAAAAAAAGAAAAAACAAAAACAAAAAGAAAGGAAAAAAGAAAAACTCTAAATGCTATTCAATTATAAAGGGAAGAAGATGGAAAAAGCAACAAAAAAGAAAAAAAATCCCAACACATACTATTATAACCCATGCCAGGTAAAAATAAAAATTATATACCAGATACAATATCTGTATATCTCAATTGTAAAACTAAGCCTTAACATATAATTTCTCTCTGGTCCAATATTTGGCCGTGGCTGTAAACCTAAGCCATATCTCAATCAGATGTGTGCCATCAACATCTCCGGCCCCACTTAGGAATTTCTTTTTACCGAGACCCGTTCCAGTACTCGAATGGTGTATTCATTTCTGTATACATATTGCTATCTACCAGTCTGACCGAATTTGGAAAGTAAACAATGCTGATTTTTTGTAGGGGTAAGCCAAATCCCCACTTTTTATGAAAAAAATTTTGGAAGACCAACAAGGAAGCGAGAAAAGAGGGAAGGAACCACTTGGCCAATAAAAGAGTGTAAGGCTTCTTTAAAATAGTTGTTTGCTATTCTCCAGGTAAGTCAGATACATATGTAACTTTATTATCAGAAGTGAGAGACCTCTTTCATTAGAATTTTTTGCACAAGGGCACACCCTCCTGCCAGTTATCTTGTAAAGAACACTTCTAACTTGCATAATAAAAATATAGAGGAGTCCTCAAGCTAAAGCAGAGAGAAAACCAACTTGGTTAACCACTATAAAAATCGTTAATATGTATCTACTTCAGCTCCAACTCCAGCAAACTTCTATTTTTTTTCCATTGGGAGAGTTGGTCCAAATGATCATCAGAAAGAGTTTTTTTTGTTTTTTTTTTTTTTTTTATTATAATGTCATAGTAGAATCTTTATTATAATCAGTCTAAAGATTAAAAGTTTTCCCATAGTTTACAGATTCAGATAAGAAGACAAATAAGTTATTTATTTATAACCTGGCTGCCAAAACCCTTTAACTTGAACAAGTAAATTATGAGAAGATTAATTAGAAAAGAATTTCTATAGTTAAAGATTTCTAGCTACACTTGTGTTACAAAGCACCCAATGTGACATTACACCTCCTATTTTAGTGCTATTATTAGTTTAAATGGATAAAATAAATCTAGCTAGAATAGGTTGAAGAAAACTCTAAGGTGTATATTATAATATTACAACATTATATAAGGCATGTTGTTAGAGAGAATCCTTGCAAGTATCATTTTTTGATGATAGAGCGTAAATTTGGTAGTTGAGTAATAGAAGTTTTTATGCTTAATCGGTTGGTGATAAGTGGCAAAGAAAATTTAGTATATTTGGTTTTATTAGTGATATTTCAGGCCAATTCCCATTAGTGTTGATATATATTCTGTTGAGGCCATATTTCATGATAAAAAATTGTTTGAAAGACTAATTGCAAACGATTTAATTTGTTTTTTAAGTAGAGTTTTAGAGTATGATAAATTTGTTTTGAGTAAATACCAAGAATAGTAGGAAGTAAAAAATTATATTAAGAGTTTATAGAGTCAAATATAGTTTGTGAAAGAGTATTAAGAATTGTAATTGATGAAGTAGATATAATTTCGAGTTGATTTAATGTGTTTGAAGTTATATTAAAAAGTGATTGCCGAATATCTTTGTTATTTTTTGAATATAGAAATATGTGAAGAGTATTTTCTACTGTAGAGCATTTATAACAGCTATCTGTTGTATAAAGATTAGAGTATCAGATTTTAAAATTTTGTATAGTAGGTAGATTATTTGTAAGGACTTTAATATAAAAGGAGTATTTTGAAAAGCAATATTCAAGAGAGTTAAGGATTTTGAAAGTGAGATTCTAATTTATATTAGATGTATAATTATTAAAAAATTTGAGAGAAGTTCATAAGAGAAGTTCTTGAATTGTAATAGTGCTTTTGATGAATAAACAAATTTTAAGTGTTATTGTGTAGTTGTACTAGATAAAGTGAATAGGGAGATTAAAGTGTGAAGAAAAGATTTCTATAATTGGCTTAGTCATGCTGTGTTTGGCTAAAAGATCAGCTTGGTTATGGAGAGAGTTATTTGAATATGATTTAACTTTAATAAGATTAATAGAAATATTTTTAGTTTTTATAAATAAGTTAATAATAAAAACAATATCCCAGTTTTTTTGTTAGATGAGTTTATGAGATGTAAAGTCTGATAAGTCTTTAATTGCTAAAAGATTGTCTATATAGATAGTAAGTATAGAATTGATTAAGAAGTAGAGAAATAATTGCTATTAGTTCTAAGCGAGTGAAGTCAGGAGAAGAAGTTGCTGCGCAAAAATTAATAGAGAAGTCATTTTCACATATCCAACCAATGCAGGTCTGTATATTAGGTATTAGAAGATTTTTAATAAAAGCATCAGTATAGAATTGTAAATTAGTTGTATTTAAGATATTGTTATATAGTTGAATTA